AGCCCCAAACTAAATCACAAGCCATGCCTGCCAGAAAATCAAGTAGCTGCCAGGTCTGTGTTCTCTCTCTCTCTCTCTCTCTCTCTCTCTCTCTCTCTCTCTCTCTCTCTCTCTCTGTCTTTCTCTCTTCCCCCATTTCCAGTCCCCCAGTCTCATCCCCAGCTCTACAGAAAAACGTGCTTGGCAGGCCCCTTCACAAATCCCATGGATCCCAGAGATCATCTTCCCCCTTCTAACCACCTCTGCCCACTCATTGATTTATTACAGACATCACCCAGACAGTGTCCCCTGCTAACCCAAGGGCATGTCCTCCCAGAGCAACAACTAGGCTGAAGGCAGACCCACACCTCCCCTAGTACTCCTGAGATCCTATCCCCCCACTTTTATCCTAAGCCCCGTGGAAGGAAACCTACTGTGTTATCTCCTCTTCATCTCTGACCCATCCCTAAGGACCTGCTCCAACAAACTTCCTTCCCCCAACTCATCTCATTATCCCAGCCTTCAACACCAGTAGGTCTTCCCTGTGAAGATAACCATTGAGCAGGCCAGGAAAAGAGGTAACACACAGCCATCACACTCTCCAAAAATACAGAGGGAAAATAGAAAGTAAGGAACAAAACACACACCCAACAAAGACAACCCAGAAATCAGCACCTAGACCTATAATCACCCTAAACCTAGTTGCTTACACACTAGTGTAAAAACACACCAGCCAGGTGATGGTGGCACTCACCTTTAATCCCAGCTCTCATGATGCACAGCCAGGTGCATCTCTGTGTATGAGGCCAGCCTGGTCTACAGAGCAAGATCGAGGACAGGCAACAAAACTACACAGAGAAACTCTGTCTCAAAACAAACAAACAAACAAACAAACAAAAACACCAGGCAGGACAATATGTCCCCGCTAAGTCCAGCTATCCTAACACAGTAGGCCCTGAAGTCCAACACAGCTAAAGCACAAGAAAAAGACCTTTAGAGAACAACTTTAGGAAGGTGATAGAAGACTTTAAAGAGGAAATGAATGAATCCCTTAAAGACCTTCAGGGAAACACAAACAAAATTGGAGTAAATGAATAAATCTCTTAAAGAAAACTAGAAACAAAAACAGCTGAAGGAAACAAATAAAGCTGTC